GTGTAAGAGTCAACAAAAGAGGCCAGGCATGGTGCCTTACACCTGTAATCCCAGCACTTTGGGAGGCCGAGGCAGGTGAATCACCTGAGATCAGGAGTTCAAGACCAACCTGACCAACATGGAGAAACCCCGTCTCTACTAAAAACACAAAATTAGCCAGGCATGGTAGTGCATGCCTGTAATCCCAGCTACTCAGGAGGCTGAGGCAGGAGAACCACTTGAACCTAGGAGGCAGAGGTTGCAGTTTGAGTCGAGATCGCGCCACCGCACTCCAGCCTGGGCAAACAAAAGTCAACAAAAAAGACAAAATTCTGATTAACAGATTAATTTTGCAGTCTTGAAGTTTACAATTCAAGTTAACGTTTCACCATCTCAGACTCTAGCAAAGGCTCCAATATGGCACTACAGGTCTAAGATGTTAACAGGTATGGTATTGGCATAGTCCCCTCTAGAGGATCATTCTATGGAAACTTTTTAGCAATCCCCATCCTCGAACAACTTTCCTCAGTGTCAGACATTTATTCAGACAGTCCTCTCCTTTATTCCAGTGTTCTCCCTTCTTACTGATTACCATGGTCATTTTTAAACTATCATAACAGTAATCATTTTTTCCAATTACTATTTACTCACGTCATCTCATTTTACCTCTATTTTTAACTTCATTAATACAAATCATTTTTGGTTGTTTTAAGACAAGGTCTCACTTTGTCACTCATGCTGGTCTCAAACTCCTGGCCTCAAGCCATCCTCCTGCCTTAGCCTCCCAAAGCACTGGGATTACAGTTGTGAGTGAGTCACTGTGCACAACCTACTAACACAAATGGTTTTAACTCCTGTTACAATCACTAGTTAACTAGTGATAACTCATTAACTTCAGGACATTCTTCTACCTTATAAATAACTACTTTTCTCCTATTAAATAAGCCCAGAACTTTTTCATATTTTTAAACCTAAATCTTAATTAAAATTAAGTGCCAGAATTCTGAACCTGTTATTTTTATACTCTAAAAATATGATGATCAACAAAACTCAAAAAAGGATCTAACAATTACCTTGCTTCTTGAATGCTATCTGAACTTAAGTGGTTAATTAGAATGACAATTGTTTTGGCTGGGCAAGGTGACTCATGTCTGTAATTCCAACACTTTGGGAGGCTGAGGCAGGAGGATCGCTTGAGGCTAGGAGTTCCGAGACAAGCCTGGGCAACAAACTGAAATACTCATCTCTGCAAAAAAATTTTAAAAATTAACCAGACATGATGGCACACATCGATTGTCCCAGCTACCCTGGTTGCTGCGGCAGGAGGGTTGCCTGAGCCCAGGAAGTTGAGGCTGCAGTGAGCCATGATCATGCCACTACACTCCAGCCTAAGTGACAGAGCGAGACTCTCTAGGAAAAAAAGGACAGAGTACAGTGATTAATGTCTGTAACCCTAACACTTTGGGAAGCCAAGGCAGACGGATTACTTGAGTTCAGGAGTTTGAGACCAGCCTGGGCAACATGGTAAAAACCCACCTCTACAAAAAAAAAAAATTGGCTGGGTATGATGGCACACACCTTTGGTCCCACCTATTCTAGAGGCTGAGGTGAGAGGATTGCTTGGGCCCAGGAGGTCAAGGCTAGAGTAAGCCATGACAGCACCACTGCACTCCAACCTAGGAGACAGAGCAAGACCCCATCTCAGAAAAAAACAAACAAAAAAAACTCAACATGGTTTTGATGACTACAGATTTACATTGTCCATAAGCTAATTAGCTTCATTATCCCAAAAACTATGTTCCAAAACGAAGGCTAAAATAAATCCCATCAGCTCTTGGATCCAGATGAGATATGGCATATTCAGAATACATTCAGAATACATTCCATCATTAAGATTCTGGTGATACATCAGATATGTCATCTTAACAGATGTCAGACACTGGATCACCTTCTTTTAGCTCACAACTGTGAACTGTTTTCACAGTGTTTTCTTTGATAGGTGATTAGCTGCCAACTCCTATTTCATTAATCATCTATTCAAATATAAGGTCTCTCACTTGGTACTTAGTTTAGGTCACCAAATATACAGCAAACAGAATCTACTTTGGATAAACCACATTATCCAGCTCACTTTGAAATCCTATTTCTGTCTTCAAGATTTTCAAAAGTATAAACCACTTTGTTGTCATTCGTAAGTATAAAGTTCTTATTCCCACCATCACTCAAACTGAGAAAAAAAGACAGAATAAAGACAACGTTCCATAGGGTGTCCCCATCACTGCTCATTCTCACTGAGTCTGACCACTTAGTAGGCTGTATGTCTACAGTAATAGCACCTACTGCATATCTCCTAAGATTACTGTGTATCTTAGGAATAAAGTATATTCATATTCTAACACCTCACATTCACAGTAGTAACAAAACCACCATGTTAGGCAAGCCTAGCTTGATTCAGTATATGGAATGGAAGAAGAAACCATTACGTGCCAGGAAGAGTACTCCTTTCCTTAAATACGGTCTCAGCTAATCCTCAACACTTTCAGGTATTAGTATTCTTCTTTCTTAATAAAAAAAGATCAAAGAAGTTAAACTGTATAAGCGACTTTGAAGACCATCAGAATCCTAGCTCTATGTTACTGTGCTTAACACAGAGGTTTCTATTTCTGGGTTTATGAGGTTAGCTGCACGTGACTAGGCAACTTAACATCTCTGAACCTCGGTTTCCTCATCTATAAAATGGAGTTTAAGTGAAATAATTCATGTAATGTGTTTAATTCAGAGCCTACTATATAGTGAGCTCACTCAGCAAGTATTAGCATTGGTCAAACTCGAACTGCTAGTTACAAAAATCAGAAATGAAACTCTGGTCTGATTCCCAAGTCCATGCTCTTTCCACTACAACATGCTATTGTTGCCAATACACACTCCTTATCCACATAAGAATCCACACTTGAAATATGACATAGATGGGAAACTAATATTGCCTAAATAAGGTAACTATTAAGATCTAACTAACTAAACCAGCAGAAGGATTTTAGCTCTAATATCTGATAAGTAGAAAACTCATAAGATACCATTTAGACCTTCAGGTGTACAGAGCTTTGTACTGAATTCCATGAAACTAGTTTCCTACCTATGTAGGAATTTATCCTATCTCAAACCAGTTGTAAATCAGAAGTTTAATTATCAGAGGTCCCCCTAAAAAGCTTATTTAGGTGACCTGAATAAAGAAATGTACCCTAGAGCAGGAGCAGTGGCTCACACCTATAATCCCAGCACTTCAGTAGGCCAAGACAGCAGGATCACTTGAGGCTAAGAGTTCAAGACCAACCTGGGCAACAAAGTGAGACCCCCGTCTCTACAAAAAATTTTTAAAAACTAGTTGGGCATAGTGGCTTGCGCCCGTAGTCCCAGCTACTTGGGAGGCTAGCAGGAAGATCACCTGAGCCTGAGAGGTAGAGTTTGCAATGACCCAGGATTGCTCCACTGCACTTAAGCCTGGGTAGCAGAATAAGACCCTGTCAGAAGGAAGGAAAGGAGGAAAGAAAAGAGAGGAAAAAAAAAGGAAGGGAGGAAAAGAAAAGGAGGGGAGAGGAGGAAGGAGAAATGGGCCTTCCTACAACATAATTTGAATACTGCATCAGCCTGAAGCTTGTCAATTTTATTTTCAAAATCAACCACTACTTACTATTTTGAATTTAATTATAACTGTACCACTTTTAAATTAAAGCGACCGCCAGGCTCCGTGGCTCACACCTATAATCCCAGCACTTTGGGAGGCCTAGGCGGGAGGATCACCTGAGGTCAGGAGTGTGAGACCAGCCTGGCCAACATGGCGAAACCCTGTCACTACTCAAAATATAAAAAGTTAACTGGGCATGGTGGCACATGCCTGTAATCCCAGCTACTTGGGAGGCTGAGGCAGGAGAATCGCTTGAACCTGGGAGGCAGAGGTTGCAGTGAGTTGGCGCCACTACACTCCAGCCTGCAAGACAGAGCAGGACTCCATAAAAAAAAAATAAAAATAAGGCCGGGCGCGGTGGCTCATGCCTATAATCCCAGCACTTTGGGAGGTTGAGGCGGGTGAATCATGAGATCAAAAGATCTGAGACCATCCTGGTCAACATGGTGAAATCCCGTCTCTACTAAAAATTTTTGTATTAGCTGGGCATGATGGCACACATCTGTAGTCCCAGCTACTCGGGAGGCTGAGGCAGGAGAATTGCTTGAACCCAGGAGGCGGAGATTGTGGTGAGCCAAGATCGCGCCATTGCACTCCAGCCTGGGTAACACGGGCAAAACTCTGTCTCAGATAGTGTCATTTTTCCTACCAATCCCCTTACCAAAACCAGGCACTGCTGTTCTAACAAGGCTCAAAAATCTCACTTAAATATTTCACTCTCTGCCTGATCAAACAGTAGGATAATGCAATTCAAAGACAGTAGCACAAGTTATCTTCTACAACAATCATTAATAATAATTTATTATTTCCAATAACTTTCAGGCACTGATTTGCCCTAACGGGAGGTTGTAAACCAGGATGAGATGCCCACACACACTGATTTTTAGGCACAACTCTAGTCTATTCAGCAAAGCAATGAAACCTCTAGAGAAAAGAATGCCACATATATCCCAGGGAAACAAAATTAATATGCATGCATTGGTAAAAAGTTCTAACCAAAGACACAGCACTGTTCATTACGTACTCATCCTTCAAAGAAATCAAATCGAAACACTTTCATTTTAGCAAAGAATCTTTTAGAAGGACTGATTTTGCAATAATCTTTAAAGTCCCCGTATTTCCTGGATTTTTTAAATTCTAACTTCCTGCCTCATACATCTAAAATAGCTATGACATACTCAGGTATGTGCTGCTCATTTAGTTATAATCGTGTAGAGGAACACAAGTCTGTTTCTATGTGTACGACTCCATCCGAATTCATTTTGCCTAATATAACCACTAAATATAGCTCTAAGACACTGATGATTAAAAAACAGTTAATTATGTGAGTGATTCATACCTCCTATGTCCAAACACCAAGATTCAAGGATGTTTCTGTCAGATCTATGGGAAGAGGAAACAAGAAACACCTGTCACAAAGCTTTCCAAACTGGGAAGCCCCCTACTGAGTCACTGCCAATCCCAACCTGAGGCCCTCCCCTTCATCCCTACCCTTCACGTCCCCAAAACAGCCAGAGGTCACGCTTCCACCAGAACCCGACTTTGTGAAAGGAATGGAAAGAAAGGCCACAGAGTGGCCACGAAAGCACTGCCAGGAAAAAGGGCCCTGGGTTTTTCTAGTCCCCACTGCCACAGAGTCCGCGTGGGAGGCCTTAGGCAAGTCAGAAGTCACTTTTCCTCCATGGAACTCACTTATTTTATCTGTGAAATGAGGAGACGCCAAGGAGGTCCATATTCCACCGCTGAGGACGAGCTAGGGTCCCACAAAGACCCACCGAGGGCCCTGCCAGCCCCCTACCCCTTCTGCCCACAGGACCACCACCTCCCTCAGGACTTTCTGAAAGGGCCGACTACCAATCACCCCGCTCCTGGCCCCCAAGCTCCCCCCACACCACAGGCAGCGCGTCCACCCCCAGGCCTTCGGAACCACCGCATGGGCTCCTGCCCGGCCTCACTTGTCCTCGACCCTCCAGGGTCTCAGCTCCTAGTCCCCGAGATGTCCATCTCCGGCCGGGGGAGGCTGGCCGCGACCTCAGCCGGCACCCGCCGCCCCGACCACACCGTTCGCCTCCTCAACCTCCCCCTTCGCCGCCGCCCACCCGCCCCTCGCCCCGCTCACCGGCCGCCGCCGCGCCGCCTCCTCCGCGGCCTCCCTTGCGGCCGGACTAGCTCCAAGAGCCGCGGGGGACCCGGCCGCCGCCGCCGCTGCCTTGCCTTGCCTCAGCCCAGCCCCATCGCCCTCGGCCAGCGCCGCGCGCTGCGGCTCAGGGTGAGGGAAGGAGGCGCCGCGGCGGGGCCGGGCAGGCCCTGGGACGTCCGCGTTCTCCTCCTCCTCCGCGCCCGCGGCGGCGCCGTGTAGCCGGGCAGGGCGAGAACAAGAGAGGGTGACGGGAGGCAGGCAGGGGGAGGGAGGGGGTCTGCACTCCGAAACGGCCCCCGACCGCCAGCGACGTCGCGAACCCCCCCTCCCCTCCGCGGCGGCGCCCGATCACGCTGCGAGGAGAGGCGACGGGCAGGCGGGGTGCGCGCGCGGGCTCGGGACTCCCGCGCCCGAAGTGAGGTCACGTGGTGGCTTCATCCCCGCGCCAAGAGCGGAGGGGCGCGGACGACGTCAGGAGGCGGGAAGGGGCGGGGTGAGCCCTAAGCCCCGCCCACCCCATCGTTTAGCCCCCTCGAGCTCCAAAGAAAGGAGCAGGTAAGGGGACGCCGTCCAAAAACGGTGGCTGTTAGGCTAATGGAAGGCGGCTCTTCTGCTGGGATGAAGTGGGACTGCAAATCCCACTCCATCTTCTTTGGACTGTGACAACATCATAGTCCAAACTCCCATTTTAAGAACAGGGAAACTGAGGCTCAGTGACTAGACAAACGTTGCCCAGAGTCATGGTCATGGAGGAAGCTTGTGCTAAATGGTGGAGAGGAGACCAGAGCCCAGCTCCCAATGCAAGGTTCGTTCACTCCTTTGGCCACCTCCGTCCCCGCCAAAATAAACAAACAAAAAACTGTCGTTCGGGTCTGACCACTGGCTCTACGCGCCAGCCCCGAGCGGAGGAGGGGAGGAGCGCACCCGAGAAAGCTCCGACGCACCCGCTGCTCGCCTCCGGCGGGAAGGCGCCTCTTCCGACTGTCCTAGGCGAATTAAATACTTCCCTTCGCAGAAGACTTATCTCGGGGTAGGGCCGCAGCCTGATTTCCAAATCGCGGGTTTGGTTTTCGCGGCGTCCCCTCCCCGACGCGCGCAGGGAGCGCGCCCGGCCACCTGCAGCCTTGGGCCGCGGCCATCTTTCCGCCTGGGGCCACCTGGCCCGCGTCCTTGGCGCCCGGCCCGCTTCGTGACTGTTCTCCTTGCCGCTACTTACAGAACATAGCCGCCTTAGCGTCTTAAAGAAGGGGACAGCATGCACGCGGACCCTGTCCACCACACCTGGGGACACCTCGCCAGGAGCAGGGAGCATTTAGCCCGTGGACACTTATCAGGGCCGCCATCCCTGGTCCACGCATACGATGACATCTCACCTGAGGCAGCACATCAACCCGAGTCCGCGACACTGATAACACCTCCTGGGGCCAAGGAGCGCACCACAGCCACCCTTGGTCCCCTACATTGTGTGGGGCTGGCAGTTTTTTGGCATTTCTGACCGCCTCTTGGCACTGGACCACCGCCTCCAGTGCGCTGGACCTCGAGTTGGAGCCACAGCTTTCTCTTCCCAATCCGTGGCCTCGCAGTTTTGTTTCAAACCTCACTGTTTCAAACCTCACTGTTTCAAACCTCGTGGTGTTGAAATGATTAAATGAGTTATGGGGTGTGGTAGTGTTGGGCAAACCGCAAAAAAGCGGTCTGGGTAAGGTTGGGCCCTAAAATCCTCCTCCTCCATCTCCCTGGCTTCTTTGCCTGGCTGTTTCCTCTCGGTCTTTAAACAGGCTGGCCTCTCCAAGTCCAAAAAACGAAACGATCAAGACAGCCTCCTCCTGAAGTGCCCTCTCCAACTCGCTTTCAAGTGCTTGTCTCTCAGTGAGACCTCAAACAGTGGTGTTCCCTGGCTGCCTGGGCTTCCTCATTTCTCAACACTTGGCAGTCTGGCTTCTCCTTCCCCACTATAACCCTTCTTCACCCTGCTCAGGCAAGAGTAACTCATGACTTTGATTTTGCCAAACCTTGCAGGCATTCCTCAGGCCTTACCTCTCTGGTTCTCTCTGCTAATTTGACAGCTTGGATAGCTTTCACCTACTGGAATCTACTACCTTGGTTTCAGAAGAGTGAACCCTCTCAATTACCATGACAAGGTAAGTAAAGCCCCTGCCTCATTTGGTAGCATCCACTTGTGAATCTGCACCTTCAGTGCAGGATTCCACACTAAGCCAACAGCTTTTCTGACTTTACTGGCTCTTCTGGGATTGCCTGCGTCCTCATGGATGCAACTCCCAAATTAGCAATTTCCAACCCAGCCCCCTTCCACAAAATTTAGAACCAAATATCCAACTGCTAGCCAGGAAGCTCTAGCTAGATACCACAGAGATACCCCAAACTGGACATTTCCAGAACTGAAACTGCTTTCGTAGCTGCCCCTCCCTCAGCTGTTAGCACCACCATCTCCACAGTCGTCAAAATTAGAAAGTCGGGAATCAGTGAGTGATTCATAATTCAGCCCTCTGCCTTACCCAATCACCAAGTCCTATTCATTTCACCTACTTAATAAGCCTCAACTTCCTAAGGTGGGCTGGGCGCAGTGGTTCATGCCTGTAATCCCAGCACTTTGGGAGGCTGAGGTGGGTGGATCGCATGAGGTCGGGAGTTCAAGACCAGCCTGAACAACATGGTAAAACCCCATCTCTACTAAAAATACAAAATTAGCTGGGTGTGGTGGCATGTGCCTGTAATCCCAGCTACTTGAGAGGCTGAGGCAGGAGAATTGCTTGAACCCGGGAGGTAGAGGTTGCAATGGGCTGAGATTGCGCCATTGCATTCCAGCCCGGGCATCAAGAGTAAAACTCCATCTAAAAAAACAAACAAAAAACATTCCTACAGTGGTTCCCACTGGCATCCATCCTTTCCAGTCTGAACGATCGCAGCAGCTTCCTAACTATCTCCTTTAGACAAATTCAGCCTTCAGGGTGAACTACAATGCACTCCACTTAAAATCCCGAGTTCCCCTAGGCTTCTGACTGCAGTATATACCCCCAAGCTACCCAACATGAACCTGTCAATGCATTCCAGCTTTTAAAAGATCACAAAGAGCCCCAGAATTCCAGGTGCAGCCAACCTAAGGCAACACGCAGCCAGGCAAGGGAAAGCAATAGGAAAAAGAGAAGAGCAGTTGGATATTCCAAAAACTTTTCTGTTACAGATGTTTTGAGAATGGTAAAAAAAAAGAAGGGGGCACTGGCTTTAGAGGAAGCGCTGAGTCACTTGGCTTGAGCATGTTGAAAGGTTGAGGGAAAAGAAGGTGTAAGAAAAAGAGGAGAAACCCAATACAGGGAAGAGAAAGGGACTGGAACAGTCTTGAGAAGTTCTGGGAGGCTTACTGGTTCTCAAGCCATGATGATTCTGGGTACAAGCCCACTCCTTCCCTCCTCTGATCCTACTCACTCTTAAGAGCCAACCCATGATCACAGCTGCACAAAGATAACAGCCATGCTAGTAAGGTCTGACTTTACTTCTCACAAAGGCTATTTCCTATCTCCTCCATCCTCAAAACCCCCATCTTTGCTTGCCCTTCCCTCTCACTTTCCCCTTACCTCCTATTTCACTAAGAAAATGTACACCATTATGGGGTGCAGTGGCTCACACCTGTAATCCCAGCACTTTGGAAGGCTAAGGCAGGCGGATCACCTGAGGTCAGGAGTCCGAGACCAGCCTGACCAACATGGAGAAACCCCATCTTTACTAAAAATACAAAATTAGCTGGGCGTGATGGCACATGCCTGTAATCCCAGCTACTTGAGAGGCTGAGACAGGAGAATTGCTTGAACCCGAGAGGCAGAGGTTGTGGTAAGCCAAGGTCGTGCTGAGCCAAGGTCATGCCATTACACTCCAGCCTGGGCCACAGAGCAAAACTCTGTCTCAAAAGAAAATAAAAGAAAAATGTACACCATCAAGAGGGAACATCCTCATCTTCCTACATCGGCCCCAGTGTCTCTTTTCCCACTCCAGAGGGACAAAGCCTCCTAACAGAGTTAGCTCTCCACAAAAATTACCACTGTTAGGCCAACTCCAGGGCCTAGGCCTCCCCAGAATACTACTGTTGCCAACTCCAGGGGACACTTTCAGGCCTTGCCTTTCTAGTTCCCTCAGCAACAGGCATCTCCTATTCTTTTTTTTTGAAACAGAGTCTCTCTCTGTCACCAGGCTAGAGTACAGTGGCACGATCTCAGCTCACTGCAACCTCGCCTCCCAGGTTCACGCAATTCTCCTGCCTTTGCCTCCCAAGTAGCTGGGATTACAGGCACACACCACCACAGCTGGCTAATTTTTTGCATTTTTAGTAGAGACAGGGTTTCACAATGTTGATCAGACTGGTCTCGAACTCCTGACCTCGTGATCCACCTGCTTCGGCCTCCCAAAGTGTTGGGATTACAGGCGTGAGCCACCTTGCCTGGCTTTTTGGTTTTTTTTTTGAGACAGAGTTTTGCTTTGTCACCCAGGCTGGAGTGTAATGTTGCCATCTCGGCTCACTGCAGACTCCGCCTCCCTGGTTCAAGTGCTTCTCCTGCCTCAGCCTCCCTAGTAGTTGGGATTATAGGCAACCACGCCCAGATAATTATTGTACTTTTAGTAGAGACGGGGTTTCACCATGTTGGCCAGGCTGGTCTTGAACTTCTCACCTCGTGATCTTCCCGCATCAGCCTCCCAAAGTATTGAGATTATAGGCATGAGCCACCACGCCTGGCTGCATCTCATATTCTTGAGACACTTTGCTGTTAGTTTTGATAACATACTCTATTTTGGAATTCCTTGTCCCTCTTTCTGTCTACTCCATCTCTACCTCTGCAGGTGCTTCCTCTGTCTTGTCTCTAAATGTTGCTGTTCCCCAGGGCTCCACCCAGAATTCATTCCTCTGTCTATACAAGGTTTGTTTGTTTTTTAATTTGACATCTCTTGACCTTGCAAGAGTTGTGCTGGGCTTCAGAAGGATCTATAAGCTCCTTAAATTGGGATGCAAATACTTTTAAAGGAAGAAGTGGAGCTTTTATCAGCTTCTCAAAGGTGTCTGGATCCCGAAGAAAAGATAAGAAGATTAATCCACATGCTCTCTGCTGGTGGCCTTATCTACCATGGCTGTAGCTGTCATCTGCATATACATTAATAACTGCCAACTGAAGCCAGGCATGGTGGCTCACACCTGTAATCCCAGCACTTTGGGAAGCCAAGGCAGGCGAATCACCTGGGAGTTTGAGAACAGCCTGGCCAACATGGTGAAACCCCGTCTCCACTAAACATGCAAAATTTAGCCAGGCATGGTGGCACATGTAATCCTGTAATCCCAGCTACTCGGGAGGCTGAGGCAAGAAAATTACTTGAACCCAGGAGGCGGAAGCTGCAGTGAGCCAAGATGGCACCATTGCACTCCAGCCTGGGTGACACAGCAAGACTGTCTCAAAAAAAAACAAAAGGCCAGGCATGGTGGCTCACACCTGTAATGCCAACACTTTGGGAGGCTCAGGCAGGTGGATCATGAGGTCAAGAGTTTGAGACCAGTCTGACCAACATAGTGAGACCCTGTCTCTACTAAAAATACAAAAAATTAGCCAGCTGTGGTGGTATGTGACTGTAATCCCAGCTGCTCGGGAGACTGAGGCAGGAGAATCAAGTAAACCTGGGAGGTGGAGGTGGAGGTGAGCTGAGATCTCACCATTGCACTGAAGCCTATGCAACAGTGTGAGACTCCATCTCAAAAAAAAAAAAAAAAACCTGTCAACCATATGCCTGCAGCCCAGGCCTCTTCTCAGAGTCCTGTTCCTGGGCCATTCTTCCCTATCACTGTCACACAGTGTTTCACTGGTCCCAGATAAGTTCAATTATCCCTGACTCAACTCTTGTCCTTCTTCTCCAGACCAGCTCATCTCCTCCTACCTAAACATCTACTCAAGCCCAAAACCTGGGAGTCATTCTTTACACCTCCCTCTCCTTCACCACCCATGCAATCCAACACTTAAGCCCATTTCAAATCCTCTCCCATCCCTCCATCTCCACTGCCACTAGAATAATGCATGCCACCTCCATCTCTCACCTGGCACTAGTGCGTTAGCTACCAGCAGATTCCTCTGCTTTTACCCTTGCCCACCTCCAGTTCATTCTCCCCCAGCCCCAGAGTAGTCATTTATGTGACTTCAAGCAGAGCTCCTGATAAAAACATTTACTTGCTTCCCATCTCACTTAGAATTCTAGATGAACTTCTTGAGTCCACAAAGTCCAGTGCAGGATGTGGCCTGCCCACCACTTCCCCCTTTGCTGGCACCACTCTATCCTCTGCCGTCCCTGTCGTCTAACCCCAGACCTCTTCCCCAGGTTACTCCGGCTACACTGGGGCTTCTTTCAATTCCTCAAACACACAAACCTCTTTCCTGCCCCAGGGTCTTTGTATAATCTATTCTTTCCCTTCCCTTTTTTTGTTGCCTAACTTGTAAGTTCAACTTTGGACTTAAATACATATACAGTTGTCCCTCAATATCCACAGGGAATTGGTTTCAGAACCTCTATGGATACCAAAATTTAAAAATACTAAAGTCTCTGATATAAAAGGGTACAGTATTTGCATATTACCTATATACATCCTCCCATATGCTTTTTTTATTTTTTTATTCTGAGACGGAGTTTCGCTGTTGTTACCCAGACTGGAGTGCAATGGCACGATCTCAGCTCACTGCAACCTCCACCTTCTGGGTTCAAGCAATTCTCCTGCCTCACCCTCCCGAGTAGCTGGGATTACAGGCGCGCGCCACCATGCCCAGCTAATTTTTGTTTTTAGTTGAGACAGGGTTTCACCTCGTTGACCAGGATGGTCTCGGTCTCTTGACCTCGTGATCCACCTGCCGCGGCCTCCCAAAGTGCTGGGATTATAGGCGTGGGCCACCTCACCCGGCCTGCTTTTTTCTTTTTTTTGAAACAGAGTCTTGTTCTGTCACCCAGGCTGGAATGAAATGGCAGGATCTCGGCTCAGCAAAACCTTCACCTCCCGGGTTCAAGCAATTCTTTCTCCTGCCTCACCCTCCCAAGTAGTTGGGACTACAGGCGTCCACCACCACGCCTGGCTACTTTTTTGTTTTTTTAGTAGAGACAGGGTTTTACCATGTTGACCAGGCTAGTCTTGAACTCCTGCCCTTAGGTGATCCACCCACTTCAGCCTCCCAAAGTGCTGGGATTACAGGCATGAGCCACCGTGGCTGGCCCTACTTTAAATCATCTCTAGATTACTTATAATACAATGTAAATGTTATGCAAATATATTTTTATTTATAGTATTTGTATTATATGGTTATTGTATTTATCTTGAGGCTATAGTTGCATGACATGTAAGATTGGAAAAACAGCAGTTGTTTATTTTTGTAAATGTGAGAAGGACGTTTGGGATTATGGGGAAGGGGCACATAAAATATCCTTATCACCTGGGTACAGTGCCAGGTGACTGTAGTCCCAGACACTTGGGAGGCTGAGGTGGGAGGATTTCTAGGATTGCTTAAACCCAGGAGTTTGAGGTTATAGTGAGCTATAATTGTGCCGCTTCACTCCAGCCTGGGCAACATAGTGAGATCTCAGCTCTTAAAAAAAAAAAAAAAAAGCCGGGCGCAGTAGCTCACGCCTGTAATCCCAGCATTTTGGGAGGCTGAGGTGGGTGGATCACTTGAGGTCAGGAGTTTGAAACCAGCCTGTCCAACATGGCGAAACCCCGTCTTATTTAAAAAAAAAAAAAAAAAGCCCATCCCCACCCAAAGCATCTCTTTGTGCAGCTACTGGTAAAGAATCAGCCAGTTTGGTTTATCACTGTATGCCCAGCACTAGATGAAGCCTGGTGTGTGATAGACACCCAAATGTTTACACCTGATGGATGACTGAATGAACGAATTTACAGCTTCAGATATCATCTCTAAATGCCTTTCCTGATTCCTAGGCTAAGTTAAGAATCCCTCTTTAGCCGAAGCAAGAGGATCACTTGAGGTCAGGAGTTTGAGACCAGCCTGGCCAACATAATGAAACTCTGTCTCTACTAAAAATGCAAAAATTAGCTGGGCATGGTGGCAGGTGCCTATAATCTCAGCTACTCAGGAGTCTGAGGTGAGAGAATCACTTGAACCCGGGAGGTGGAGGTTACAGGGAGCCAAGTTCATGCCACTGCACTCCAGCCTGGGCAACAGAGCAAGACCCTGTCTCAAATAAAAAAAAAAAAAGAAACCCTCTTTAGTGCATATTTGTCTCACTGCATTTACAACCTAGAATAAGTACCTATTCATGCTTGTGTTTTCCAGTAGTCTATCTTACTCATTTTTTTTTAATTATTTTTAATATGGACCACTTCATGAGTTTGCGTGTCATCCTTGCGCAGGGGCCGTGCTAATCTTCTCTGTATCGTTCCAATTTTAGTATATGTGCTGCCGAAGCGAGCACGATCTTATTCATTTTTTTTAAGGTTCTAAATACTTTCATGTGTTATTTGATCATCACAACAATGCCAACAGTACAAATAGTAGTTACTGTTCTTTTCATTTTTATAGATGAAGAAACTGAAGAAACTTTACTATCTCATTTAATCTTTATAACAATTCCAGGAAGGAGATACTATTATTATCTCTGCTTACAGATGACATTGAGGAAAGCTTAAAAATCCCATTTTACAGAGTAGAAAAAGATATGTTCAATAACTCACGCAAAAGCACAGCCAGGATTCAAACCCAGACACTTTGCTCCAGAGCCAAACTTTTGACCACTATAACCAAGTGAAGCCAGAGTGATTCCCACCTCACATCCGAACTCCGGTATTTGTTTAAGCACCCAGACTTTGACTTCCTCATGAGCCAGCACCTTTCTCAGCCACATCTGGATCCTCGGCCCTTCACAGCACACAGCAGTAGTCAAAAAGTATGCTGAGTAAGTGGATAACAAGTTAGCATTGATTCTCACAATCACGTCAGACTAGCAATGGAATTGTTATGATTCTCCTTTTATAGAGAAGAAAAATGAGATTCACAACTTCACATGAGGGAGTGTCTTGTCTAAGAATCTCTGACTCTGTCTAGCCCTTGTCTGTATTCCCTCTGCTGCTTCCACAAAAGGTTAGAAGTCACATGTTTAGATTATGAAGACCTTATCTTAAGAAATGTCAAAACAGTGCTCACTTTGGCAGCACATCTACGAAAACTGAAATGATACAGAGAAGATTAGCATGGCCCCTGCACAAGGATGACACGTAAAATAAAAAAATTAAAAAAAAAGATATGTCAAAACAAACAAGCAAACCAAAAAAACAACACAGCACTCATTGCCTTTCCTAGAAAAAGTGGCCATTAAAAGTACTTTGAGGCTAGGCCCAGTGGCTCACACCTGTAATCCCAGCACTTTGGGAGGCCGAGGTGGGTGGATCTTGAGGTCAGGAGTTCAAGACCAGCCTGGCCAACATGGTAAAACTCTATCTATACTAAAAATATAAAAATTAGCCAGATATGATGGCAGGCATCTATAATCCTAGCATTTTGGGAGGCCGAGGCAGGCAGATCACCTGAGGTCAGGAGTTTGAGACCAGCCTGGCCGACATGGTGAAACCCCATCTCTACTAAACGTAAGAAAATTATGATGTTTGGCCAACAAGCTCCATCTCTCTTTCTTTTAGTACCTCTTAAGCCATTCAGTTCCTATTTAGCTTGACCTATGCAGGCCAGTGCTTGTGTGTGTGTGTGTGTGTGTGTGTGTGTGTGTGTGTGTGTATACTGGAACGAGAACAGGGAGCAGGGAGCAGGACTGTTAAGTCAGATGTCTACAAATCAGAGCCCCGGGCCATCACTGACTTGTTTCTGTCTCTAAGCAAAGCATGTAAAAAATTTTTTGCCTCTGCTATGAGGCAAAGCCATTGGCCTGGCATTTTTCTGAGGTCATGGTGCCCTAGGATATGGTGGTTCACATGACACTGAATACTGTTTACCAACTAGCTATTTAGGATATGGAGGCCCTCCTGGAGGAGTGCTTACTGCCAGCATAGGACCGGTGTGCTGATAACCTGGTTCTCCAAGAAATTAAAAGCACTGACTGTGGCACCTGCCATTTTAATGGTGTAAATGCTCCCACCACAGCCAATTTCAAGCTACGAAGAGTTTTACTACTGTTTCACAAAATGTCTGAAAATTTTATTATTGTTATTATTTGCTGAGATGGACTTTCACTCTTGTTGCCCAGGTTGGAGTAAAATGGCATCATCTTGGTTCACTGCAACCTCCACTTCCTGGGTTCAAGCGATTCTCCTGTCTCAGCCTGCCATGAAACTGGGATTACAGGCATCCGTTACCACACCCAGCTAATTTTTATACTATTAGTAGAGACGGGTTTTCACCATGTTGGCCAGGCTGGTCTCAAACTCCTGACCTCAGGAGATCCACTCACCTCAGTCTCCGAAAGTGCTGGGATTACAGATGTGAGCCGCCATGCCTGGCCCAAATTCCTGAAAATTTAACAGTCAGTACTAGTGAGCCAGTACACATGAGCCCCAACACACTGCTGTGTTTAATAATTCCTTGTGTGGGTCGGGAGAAAAGAAATACAATTAGTCCTTTACGATTTTGGCTTGGCCGGGCATGGTGGCTCACGCCTGTAATTCCAGCACTTTGGGAGGCTGAGGCGGGTGGATTACCTGAGGTCAGGAGTTCAAGACCAGCTTGGCTAACATGGTGAAACCCTGGCTCTACTAAAAATGTAAAAAATTAGCCAGTAATGGTGGTAGGCGCCTGTAATCCCAGCTATTCAGGAGGCTGAGGCAGGAGAATCACGTGAACCCCAGAGGTGGAGGTTGCAGTGAGCCAAGGTTGCGCCACTGCACTCCAGCCTGGGTGAGAAAGTGAAACTCCATCTCAGAAAAAAAAAAAGATTTTGGCTTTAGGGGCCAAAGTCTGACTCATAGGCTGTTATGGGGAATTTCCCGTGTTTCGATGTAATGATTTCTCCTCTGATGAAAAAAGTGCAATTGCATCAGTATTAGAGATGGGAAAACTGAGTTCAAGTCATAGCCTTCTTTTAAGTCATGTGTTTCTTTCTTTGAATCTAAATCATAATGGGAATAATATTACGCACTGCACAGAATGTTTAATTATCTAACACACTCTGCTGTAGTAGTTACTCGTTGATAGACACTGTTTAAGTACTTTACAAACTTAACTCATTTAATCTTTATAACAACACTGTTAGGTAAGCACTATTACTAATTTAGAGATGAAGAGACCAAAGCACAGGGAATATAATGAAGTTCTTTTAAGGTAAAAGGATTTGAACCTGGCTTCAAAGTCCATGCTCTTAGGGCCCCACGCCACACTAGCTGCCTGTTTTTGCAGTTTTCCTGGAACACAGCCATGCTCATTCATTTACATATTATCTGGCTGCTTTTTTGTTACAACGGCAGAGTTGAGTAGTTGTGGTAGAGACCATATGGCCCACAAAGCCCAAAATATTTGCTGTCTGGCCCTTTACAGAAAAAGTTTGCTGACTCTGGCTCTATAGTATCCTGTTGGTTTGGGTTGAAACATTGATTATTATTTGGAGCCTGATAGTCCCCAGTGGTTCCAAAATTATGTTGCTGGGCCAATAAGACAAGCAAAACATAGTGTCCAGATTGTAACTATACTCTAATGTTTATACTATAATGATTGTGTCAGTGAAATAGCATTCTGAAGCATAAGGTGTAAACTTCAGTAACAAATGATGCATATAAATGTGTATTAATAGAACTATGTGTCAGGACCAGGCATGGTGCTCACATCTATAATCCCAGCACTTTGGGAGGCCGAGGTGGGCAGATCACTTAAGGCCAAGACTTTGAGACTAGCCTGGCCAATGTGGTGAAACCTCATCTCTACTAAAAATACAAAAATTAGCCAGGCATGGTGGCGTGCCTGTAATCCCAGCTACTCAGGAATATGAAGCTGAAAATCGCTTGAACCCAGAAAGCAGACGTTGTAGTGAGCCGAGATCACATCACTGCAATCCAGCCTGGGCGACAGAGTAAGACTCCATCTCAAAAAAAGAGAAAAGAAATATATATCTGACTCCATAGGATTCCAGCATCTCAAGGATTAAATTAATTCAGAGATTACCTATCCTAACCCTAACTCCTCTTGGGAATATTGCATCAAGTTTCTAAAGTTAATGCTGTCAATTCGTCATGATCATTCCTTGAGTCCTGCAAGATGATTCTTCTGTTATAGAAATGGGCTTTTTATGGCCAGACCCAGTTCCTCATGCTGTAATCCCAGCACTTTGGGAGGCCAAGGTGGGCCGATCACGAGATCATGAGATCGAGACCATCCTGGCTAACACGGTGAAACCCCATCTCTACTAAAAATACAAAAAATCAGCCAGGTGTGGTGGTGTGTGCCCGTAATCCCAGCTGCTTGGGGGACTGAGGTAGGAGAATCACTTGAACCCAGCAGATGGAGGTAGCAGTGAGCAGAGATCACGCCACTGCACTCCAGCCTGAGCAACAAAGCAAGACTCTGTCAAAAGAAAGGAAGGAAGGGGCTTTTTGCAAAGGCATCTGTTTTATGGAGCTGAGGAATCAGGCTCACGTCACCATACCTGTCAGTGTGTCTCCAAGGCAGCTTCTCCATGTTACCTGTTTCAGATGCCAAGCAGAGAAGCTCCTCAAAGCCTGTCATTTGCTGGCCTGTATAGTCGTTGAAAACTTGCCCTGACCTTTGCAGCTACTTCCTGTGAGCAATTCAAGGATGGCCAGTCACTTATGACCTATTTTCAGAGCAGGCAATTCTGATTTCTAGAACAAACTCGAAACAAGTCCAGCTATAGGTGACTGACCGAGTTTCTTTTGGGCTCCTGGTACCAGAAAGAATCGCTCACTGGAAGGATCATAGAGGACACTCCTATCTCATTGCCCCACTCAGGTAGGTAGATTTTCATTGCCCTCTAAACCAGTCAACAACTCAAGATCTCCAGAAGGATGTTTGTGATCTTCTGTTTGCTAAAGACAGTTGCTTCCTTATGGAATTTTTTATAAAAGGGGGAGCACGTGAGACCTTGTCTCTACAAAAAAAAAAAAAAATTTAGCCAGGTGTGGTGACGTGCATCTGTAGTCCCGTCCCAGCTACTCAGGAGGCTGAGGCAGAAGGATTACTTGAGCCCAGGAGATCAAGGCTGCAGTGGGGTATGATGATGTCACTGCATTCCAGCCTGAGTGACAGAGCAAGACTCTGTCTCTCAAACAACAAAACAGAACAGAACCCTTAGCTCTTCTTTGTTTTGTTTTCCTCAGAGCAGAGATGCCTCATTGAAATAGGTAAATTAAGGTGATACTGATTGCCAGCTCCAGTGTGGAAGTCCCAAGGCCAAGGAATTTCTTTCATAACCATTTCAAAAGTGAGTCCATCCAAAATACACCTCCACCACAAGATTACCTGTAATCTAATTCATCCTAGAAGATGGAGTCCAAACAGCCTGAGGTTCTGTGAATTTCACAACAGCAATAGCCACAAAATGAAAATGAACGAGGCTTTAAGGTGGAACATACCAAAAACATCTATTTCCACATGTGTCTCTATCACTACACTCCTTAAATACACTTAAATAGCTCGTGTTACCAGCAGAGACCACCAACGTGAAACCTCTTAGGACTTTATGAAAAGTTTTCTAAAGTTAATGCTGTAGATTCCTCACGATTATTTCAAAACTAATGTGATTTATTTAGGGTACCTTTAATTACACTCATGACCTTGATTTCATTTTAAAAACATACATTTAAAGAAGACTGAGGACCCTAAGGATCTCAAATTTCACTTTGAGGGGTACCTAATCGCTGTTTTAGATTCCTTAGATACTTGGTTTTATCTCTCTTTTAGAAACAAAAATTATGCTCAGCTCTACCCTCATCTGGCTCTACCAGTTGAGATATTCACAGAATGATTTCAAGCTCCAAGAGAAAAGGGAGAGTCACATTCACCTTTTTATCCCTGACAGCATGTAACTACGTTCCCTCAGTTTTGCATCCTCAGATTCAACCAACCAGGAATCAAAAATATTCAGGAAAAGAAAACAATAAAACACTGAAAAATGCAGTTGGGCCGGGCGCGGTGGCTCACGCCTGTAATCCCAGCATTTTGGGAGGCTGAGGTGGGTAGATCACCTGAGGTCAGGAGTTTGAGACCAGCCTGACCAACATGGAGAAACCCCATCTTTAATAAAAATACAAAATTGGCTAGGCATTGTGGCACATGCCTGAAATCCCAGCTACTAGGGAGGCTTAGACAGGAGAATCACTTGAACCCAGGAGGCAGAGGTTTCAGTGAGCTGAGATCACACTATTGCACTCGAGCCTGGACAACAAAAGCAAAACTGTCTCAAAAAAAAAAAAAAAATGCAGTTGGCCCTTAAATAATGTGGGTTTTGAGGGAATCAGCCCCCATGCATTAAAAAAATCTGAGTATAAGTTTTAACACTCAGGCTGCCTGCAGTGGTTCACACCTGTAACCCCAGCACTTTGGGAGACCAAGGCAGACAGATCACCTGAGGTCAGGAGTTTGAGAGCAGCCTGGCCACCATGATTAAACCCTGTCTCTACTAAAAATACAAAAACTAGCCTGGCACCTATAATCTCAGCTACTCGGGAGGCTGAGGCAAGAGAACTGCTTGAACCTGGGAGGTAGAAGTTGCATTGATTCCACCCTGGACAACAGAGTGAGACTCTTAAAATTAATCAATAATAGATAAAAAGTACAAAAAAATTAGCTGGGTGTGGTGGTGCACACCTGTGGTACCAACTTCTTCATAGACTAAAGTGAGAGGAGCATTTGAGCCCAGGAGATCAAAGTTGATGTGAGCTGAGATCACACCCATTATGCTCCAGCCTTGGCAACAGAGTGACACCTTGTCTCAAAAAAAAAGGTTTGACTCCCCAAAAACATAATTACTAATAGTCTACTTTTGATCAGAAGCCTTGCCTGTAACAGTCAAATAACACGTAGGCTAGTATCTACATATATTTTATGCATTCAAGACATACCTAACATTTATTAATGTTTGCCATATTTCTAGTCTATATGCTTCACCTGCAAGTTTTTTTAAATTGTTGCAAATTAGAAAAAAAAATTGTGTTATACTGAACCTCGAGTCTCTCCAAAGAATCAGTATGTCAGTATATTCGGCTCTCTTATTATTTAATTCTGTATTTTAAAGTTTAACTTCCTGGTTCTAATCAGTAGTTCACATCTGTTCCCTCCTCATCCTGACTCATCCTGGTCACCTGGCCACCTGCTGTGACATGCTCCTAACATCCTTCCTGCCAAAACACCCACCCTGCCACCCCAGTTCAGACTCCTGCTCTTTTTAAAATAGCCAATCTGGATTAGTCTAGCTTGTGCGGTCTAACCCTAGCCAATAGTGGACGCCACAGCAGTAGAGACGACCCCTGTCAGGCCTAAGGACCCTTTCCCACCTTGTCCAAGTGGGCGGCAGCCATCATTGCTCCATCCATGTGCCGCACCCTTCTATAGAAGTAAACTGCCTTGCTGGGAGGATTTATCTTCTAGTGCTATTTCTATTTCGGCATCAAAATTTCACTTACGACAATTCTGGGGACTTGCCCAGGATTCACATTTCTGAGACATCCTATTGATTCATTGCAACAGCCACATGGGTAAGGGACCAAGACCTACCCAATGTAACAAACAAGCCCAGTGTCTCAGCAACTGGGGGGGGATAAAAAAGGCCTGCGGGCCTCCTAATACAGTGGCAACTAAGCAACTCTGTGCACAGACCAAGGAAATGACACTGCAGGAGCTGGTAATGTAGTTCCTTAGTGGTCAGACCAAAGTAAGAAAAGCTGTGGGGGGCAGTAAACTAGTCCTTGGTCGGAATATACCAAGGCAAGAAAAGCCACAGGGTGGGGCGTGGGGGGCGGTGAAGTATTCCTTGATCAGGGTGGCTTGGAGGTCAAAAAGAGGTAAGACATCTCCATTGGTAGGGGGGCAGTGACTGGGGGATTGAACCTCACACAAATCTCCAATAGTAGGAAAGGCAAGAAATTTCCAGTAAGGGAAATTGAGCCACACCACAAAGGGCAAATAAATTTTCAGTAAGGGAAATTTGAGATTTACCCCAAAAATGGGAAACACTCAAGATAGAGCAATGAAAAAAAAAAAAGATATTCAGAACTTCCCTTTCCCTCTTCTCGGAGGAAGAAAAAGGTATGATCTGTAGAGCTGCTATGGGAACCTAGGAATGTAAACACCTCCAACCCCCGCCAAAACATTCCTACAGCGGATCAGCAATTTCCCACCCAAGACCCCCAGTGGGACAATAGCAATGCAGCCTACCGAGAAAACAGGCCGGAAAATATGCTGGTCTAGATCTTGAGGATCCTCTTGGGCTGGGAATGTTGAAACTTAATTTTATCACTAACAATTGGTCAAATATTAACAAAAAATTACAAAAAAATAAATAGAGAACTAGAAAAATAAACCTGTAAAAGAGCTTCTAAAGGAGTTCAAGAGATGGTGAAACCATTAAGAGGTAAATGGGTGGGGACCATGCAGTCCACCCAAAGGATTCAACCCTGTGGGGTCTGACTGTGCCAGTGGCCGGAGGATGTTTCCTGCCCCCAATTCCTCCCGACCTCTCCCCCCACTGCCACTGCCCCTCTGCCTCCTCAGAGAGGTCAGGCTGTGGCAGGTTAGGGGTGGAGTCAGTGGGGGACCAGTGGGTTCCCCAGAGACCAGCTATGCGACCAGCTCCAGGAAGGCTGGGAAGGTCCAGCGGGAAAGGTGGCTCAGGGGACCCGTCCTCCTCCCCTTCAAGGGGGGTAGCAGCGGGCCCACCCCCTTGGCAGTAGCACTCGCTGAATCCTGGGCTGAGGGAGCCCCAGCGCCGCTTGTGGGGGTCTCAAGTCCTTCTGATCGGGCCCAGCCTGTGTGAGGTTGCTGGTGGGCCCCAGCACACAGGGCCGAGTCTTCCTGGAGTCAGGTTGTTTGGGAATGCAGCCCAAAGCAGGTGGTAAACTCCATCTCAGGCTAAATACCTGCACAAGACCAATAGTCAACAAGTACCGTAAGGCAAAGTTGAAAAGAACTTTGAAGAGAGAGAGAGAGAGAAAAAAATAAATCCTAGAGGGGACAAAGACTGACAGAGGGAACAGTGGAAGTCAGAGAGAGAGAAAGGAAGAGATAGAAGTAGTTAAAGAGAAAGCAATGTGCCCTCTTCTTTTAAAAACCAAAGTAAATTTAAGACCTACAATTGATAATTAAAGGTCTTTTCCCTGCTGGGCTTCTTAAACCCTGTAGTTCCCAATCCTTATACTATTACAATCACCAGTAGCTTACAGTAATAAGTTTAAAAATACTTTCTGGGCTTGTCCGTGGCAGAAGACAGCCAGGACCTATTTGCCTTTGAGTGAGAAGACCCTCACTCCGGTGGAAAAATAGCAATACCAATAGACAGTCTTACCCCAAGGGTTTTCAGAGTCTCTGTCTATGGATAGACACTTATTCCCTAAAGATAAAGCCCTTATATAAAAAGCTCATGCAAGACGGGCTAAACTCCTGCATTTGGCAATATCAGAAATCCAGCAGGTGGAAAGTTACCTCCTTAAGCAGCCAGCCCATGTTTTTGTCAGTGTAAACAAGGGCATTAGAAATACTTACCCAAAGGGATGGAGGCCACTGACAGCTGGTAGCCTTCCTATCAAAAATCCTTAACCCAGTAACTGCGGATGGCCCAAATACATTATGGATGACACTTATAAAGTTTGTTTAAAGTTAACAGTGTAACATGTATTATCCTAACTTCTAATCTTGTGGCCTTAGGCAGTCTAATCCACAGACTTGAAAGAAATTTGCTTTGGAAAAGAATAGTTATCATCTTCAACAAAAAGAAAAAGAAAGGAGAATTTATATAAAAAGAATCTTATATGGGCCGGGCGCAGTGGCTCACGCCTGTAATCCCAGCACCTTGGGAGGCCTAGGCGGGTGGATCACGAGGTCAAGAGATCGAGACTATCCTGGTCAACATGGTGAAACCCCATCTCTACTAAAAATACAAAAAATTAGCTGGGCATGGTGGCGCGTGCCTGTAATCCCAGCTACTCAGGAGGCTGAGGCAGGAGAATTGCCTGAACCCAGGAGGCGGAGGTTGCGGTGAGCCGAGATCGCGCCATTGCACTCCAGCCTGGGTAACAAGAGCGAAACTCCGTCTCAAAAAAAAAAGGGATGTTTACAAGTCAGAAAGCTGAAGATTGTGAAAGTTGTGAAAAATGTTATAAAAGGGAACTTAGGCAAGAAGTGTTGTATAACTTAAAAGAAATTAGGCCTCCTGAATGTCAAACTATTAAAGGAACAGTTTATGTGCAAGGTATGTAAGGAAAATAAAATATACTTCTGGTAAAAGAATTATAAGGAGGCATAAGAATGTGGATTTCTACCTACATTTAAGAAAAAAGCCGGGAGCGGTGGCTCAAGCCTGTAATCCCAGCACTTTGGGAGGCCAAGGCGGGTGATCAAGAGATCGAGACCATCCTGGTCAACATGGTGAAACCCCGTCTCTACTAAAAATACAAAAAACTAGCTGGGCATGGTGGTGCGCGCCTGTAGTCCTAGCTACTTAGGAGGCTGAGGCAGGAGAATTGCTTGAACCCAGGAGGTGGAGGTTGCGTGAGCCAAGATCATGCCATTGCACTCCAGCCTGGGTAACAAGAACGAAACTCTGTCTCAAAAAGAAAAAAAAAAGTTAAAAAATATATTTTGTTTTGAAGGTTTAAGCAAGTTTTAAAATGATAATTATAAAGGAAATTCTGTGTGTAAACATATTGGCTAATGTTAAAGGGGTGTCATCCAGTTTGCCTGTGAATTGGACATTAAAAGCACAACAGGTTTTTTTGTTGTTGTTTTGTTTTTTTTTTTCACCTGGGTGCAGGCAGGCTGGACTTGGTTTATCTTTCACTTCCCCTTTCCTCAGAACTAAAGGTCTTTTAGTGAAGGTGCCACCCTGAAGTTTCTGGTACACCAGCGCCAACCTGGAGACCACCCTACCATTTGCTGCTAGCCACCAAGACTGCCATTCGTATAGCAGAAGAGAGATGAATACATCACACCCGAGCCAAGAAAGCGCCATCATCGTTAAAATCATGGGCTATTGTTCCGGGATCAGACCTTACCAAGTTAAAGCTAAGAAAAGCTTAGTCTATATTTTCTTTTTTTCTTTTCTTCCCTTTAACTGCTCCCCATCTTGTTATTAATGTAATTAGATCTGGCTCACCTCAAGTTGTTGCTTTAATGTCTGTTTAGTTATGCCTCGTGGAGATTTGCATAACCAGGGACAGCTTGCTGCTTCCAGAAGAATGTCTCTGTCCCTCTTAGACTTCCTCAAATTAGGAAAACATCATGAGTTTTTCTAAGGATACTAGTAATCCAAGGAATAGTAGCTGTATTCGTAATTGGTAGGAATCAGACTCTTGTCCCTCAAACACAGAATGTTTTTTCTATGTTCTGCTTAGTCTAATGCCATATGGAACACTAAAGGTTTAAGATAGACTGCTTCCTTGGGTCTTTGTCAGTCCTTAAAACTATATATCCATTTCACCAAAGGAATTACTTCTTCTAGCTGTCAATATAACCAATGTAATCCTATACAGCTTACTATTGTTATTGCAACAGCAAAAACTCTTCCCCTTCATTAAGTTGTATTGATGGTATAGGAACCGACATTTCAGGAAAGCCTCCTGAAGAAATTTTCAAAACGTACATTATTGCTCCTTAAACCTCTTTATCAATCACTCCCCCAGGCATGGTGACAAAACCAGTCTCAATGGTAGAAGTAGAGGACCTAAGGCAAACTGTAGCCATTAAAACAGGATACAAGGATGCAAATGCCTGGTTAGAATGGATTCAATTTTCCGTTCACACTTTAAATACATGCAACTATTAGGCTTGTGTGCGCAGTAGGCCAGAGGCCCAGGTTGTCCCCTTTCCACTTGGATGGTCCCGAAATCCAGCGGACATGGAAGGCACAGTAGCTCTTTCTCAGGATTCCAATGCCTGAAATAACAAATTGTACCGAGTTCTTTAGCCTCTATGGCCCTGAGCACCATACAGCCTCCATCTACCTAGGCGAAGGTCGCCTCAGGTGAAGTTCACCTGGTGTCTCTCACGACAGGGGGAGAACTTAGTGTTCCTTGGAAACTTAACAGGATGCAGTAAGTCAGACGCTTCTGAGAGCTGGCTCATCAGTCCACCCTTACTCATCCCAGAGCAGGTGTATGGTGGGATTGTGGAGGACCTTTCCTGGACACCTGCCAAGTCATTAGAGTGGCACTTGTCCTCTAGTCCAGTTAGCTATCCCTTCACCCTGGCAATTCATCAACCAGAGAAAGAGAAATCATGACATTGGCAAATAAGAGAAGCTCCTTATGGGCCTTTTGATTCTCATGACTATATAGATGCAATTGGAGTTTCTTAAAGAGTACCAAATAAATTTAAAGCCCAAAATCAGATAGCTGCCAGATTTAGGTCAGTGTTGTTCTGGTATGTAAAACAATTAATTTTTAAAAACTGTAAATTAGATAAACTACATTTATTACAACCCACAGCAGTTTGGTAACTATACTAAAGACGCTGTCAAAGGAATAGCTGAACAATTAGGATTCACTAGCCGAATGGCCTAAGAAAACAAAATAGCCCTTAACGTGATATTAGTGGAGAAATGTGCTGTTGTGTTATAATTAAGACCCAGTGTTGGACCTTTATTCAAACAACACTGCTCCCCGACGAGAGCATAACAAAAGCCCTCCAAGGACCTACTGCTTTATCAAACAAGCTGGCTAAGATTCTGGCCTCAATAACCCTATTTCTTTTTCTCTCTCTTTTTTTTTTAAAGAGACAGGGTTTCACCATGTTGGCCAGGCAGATCTTGAACTCCTAACCTCAAGTGATCCACCCGCCTCGGCCTCCCAAAGTGCTGGGATTACAGGTGTGAGCCACTGCACCCGGCCTCAAAAACCCTATTTCAAATTGGTTCAAAAGGTGGTTCAGTCAATGGAAAGAAACAATAACCTCAATTCTTACCTCTCTAGCATCGTGATAATTATACTTCTCGTTAGACGTTGTGTCATACCATGCATCGGAGGACTTGTGCGGAGGCTAGTAGACACAACTCTTACTAAAATATCCCCAACCCGTCCTCCACCCTATTCAGATAGATTACTTCTTTTAGAAGAACAAACAGAACAACTAAGCCAAGACATGTTAAGGAATTTTGAAGAGAAAGATAAAAAGTGTGAAAATTCAAGATGGGGGATTGTTACAGTGAATACCAAGTTTCTCTTCAAAGAATCAGTATGTTCAGCTCTCTTTTTCTTTAATTTTCTGTTTTAAAGTTTAACTTCCTTGTTCTAATCAGTAGTTCACATATGTTCCCCCTTTCCCCGGCTCCATCCTGACTCATCCTGGTCATCTGATCACCCCTGGCTACCTGCTCTGACAGGCCCATAACCGTCCTTCCTGCCAAAACACCCACCTTGCCACTCCAGCTTGGACCTCTGCTCTTTTTAAAATAGCCAATCTGGATTAGCCTAGCTTGTGCAGTCTAACCCTAGCCAATCAGGGATGACACAGCAGTAGGGACGACCCCTTCCCCCCTTGTCCAAGTGTGTGGCGGCCGTCATTGCTCCATTCATGCTCCACACCCTTCTATAGAAGTAAACTGCCTTTCTGGGAGGGTTTATCTTTGAGTGCTATTTTTTTTTTCTGCAGCATCAAAATTTTACTTATAACAATTGCAACAAAAATTTTTCCAATATACTTAGTGAAAAAAATTGCATATAAGTGGACTCATGCAGTTCAACCCCGTGTTGTTCAAGAGTCAACTATAATACAAATACAAACAACATAGTTTAACAACTGTGTGCAGAGCATTTACATTGCATTAGGTATAACAATCTAGAGGTTGAAGTATACAAGAGGATGCACATAGATTATATGCAAATACTGTACCCTTTTACATAAGGGACTTGAGCATTTAGGAATTTTTATATACAAGTGAGCCCTGGAACCAGTTCCTTGCAGATACTGAGGAATGACTATAGTAATAGGTAGTCAATGAACATTACTGTTTAGACATAACCTCCATGAAGGCAGGAACTTTCTCTATTTTGCTGAATCCTGTAGCCCAGCCAGCAGGCAGTAGCCACTCAAAACATGTTAAATAAATTAATCTACCACCCTAATAAGTGTAGAAGAAGGAGGTATAGAATTCTTTTTTGTTTTTTTGAAACAGGCATGATCTTGGCTCACTGCAACCTCCGCCTCCTGGGTTCAAATGATTGTCCTGCCTCAGCCTCCTCAGTACCTGGGATTACAGGTGAGTACTATGACTCCTGGCTGATTTTTGTATTTTTAGTAGAGGTGGGGTTTCCCCATGTTGGCCAGGCTGGTCTTGAACTCCTAATCTCAGGTGATCCACCCTCCTCGGCCTCCCAACAGGCTGGGATTATAGGCCTGAGCCATCATGTCCGGCCCATAGAATTCTTAAATCTTTTTTTGAAGTCAACTTAGCCTTCCTTACTAAAGTCAAGTTTCAACCAGAGAAGCAGAATTAGTAGGAAATACAGATTTACTGCAAGGAATTGTCCTACACAATTGTGGGAGCTTGTTAAGCAAATCTGGAATTTACAGAGCAGACCAGAATTCAGGGAAGCTTCAGCTGAGCTCTACAGCTTTCAAATGATTGAATCAGGCACACACATATTATCATGAGTAATTTCGCTTATCTTAAGTCAATTTACTATGGAATTTAATCACACAAAATGCCTTCACTGCAACACCTAGATTAGCGTTTGATTGCATAATTGGGGCGATAGCCTAGCCAAGTTGACACATTAAAAAGATCATCACAGCCTGGTGCAGTGTCTCACACCTGTAACCCCAGCACTTAGGATAAAGCAGGAAAGGCAGAGAAACAGACCTCTCCAACACTGAACTGGGAAGGAAATGGTGATTTATTCAGCTAGGGGCTACAGTGGGTCTGGATGCTCCAAATAGCCAACTCCCTGAATAAAGGAAATCCTTGCCCTTATAAAGGCTTACAGCTCTAGAAATTACATGTGAAAGAGTCTTGATCCATGGAGTAGGGTGGGGTATGTGACTTAGGTCGGGGTTTGTTCGTGTTTAAGTAAAAACAATGCCTTCCAGAAAGATACCTCCACACCATGCCTGTGATCTATAGGATGGCGATTAAAGATGGTGCCTGGTCTGCCAGCCTTTACTTCTCCTATTGAAATGCAAGGTAGGGGGGTGGTGGCTCACGCCTGTAATCCCAGCACTTTGGAAGGCTGAGGCAGGCAGATCACCTGAGGTCAGGAGTTTGAGGCCCACCTGACCAATATGGTGAAACCCCATCTTAAAAAAAAAAAGAAATGCAATGTGGAATTCAAGGGGGAGGTGGTCTTAGATGCTTAAGGGTGATTAAGGGTCTCCTTCCTCAAGGAAGGCAAAGGCAGGCAGATCACCTGAGCCCAGAAGTTCAAGACCAGCCTGGGCAACATAGCAAACCTCCTGTCTCTAAAAAAGGAAAAAATAAAATAAAAAGGAAAAAAGGATCATCACATTCCTGAAATACCTACCTTGGAGCTTTGGAAGTGGCTCCTTACATATGTGTATTTATTTTCTTTCCCTATTTTTCATAGAAAGGAAGTTTCTATTTTCAAAGAAAATATTTCTTTATGTATCAAGCTTATTTAGTTAGAACTGTTTGCATCCTCTGCCCTAGATACTTCAATGATAGAAAGCAATCCTAATTATAACATAACCTAGATACTAAAGAACAAATTACCATTCATTCCCACATTACAGATGAAGAAGTTCAAATACAAACAACTCGTCCAAAGTCACATAGCTGGGTAAACTGAAGGACATGGTGCTCCTCTAAAGCCATTTCTACCAACTACTACCTTATGCAAAAATCTAAAAAATTCTGCTTATGTGGAGATGTTCATATATAAATGTATATATATATTTCTTTTCTTTTTCTTTTATAGAAATGGGTTTTCACCATGTTGCCCAGGCTGGTCTCAAACTCCTGAGCTCAGTTGATCCATCTGCCGTGGCCTCCCACAGTGCTGGGATTACAGGCATGAGCCTGACCTATTTCATTAGTCATGGGGAAAAAATGTAGGGGGAGTATCTAAAACTCTAAAATATCAGCAAATATTCAGAAATATCTAAAATATTCAGCAAAACTGGGATATTATTTGTAACACATCCAAATGATAGGGGTACTATGCAAACTTTAATAGCATATTTACAAAGCAAGAAAATAATAAATATTAGAGTGGAAATAAATTAGAGAATAAAGAAAGCACCAGAGAAAATCGATGTAACCAAAACTTGATTCTTGGAAAATATCAACAAAATTGACGAACATTTAACTATACAGACCAAAAATTAGAAGACTCAAATTACTAACATCAAAAATGAGAGACTTCAGATGTTTTTGAGTGATGAAGGGAGGAGAGGAAGGAGGAAAAAAATGAAAAGATATTGGTGATATGGGCCTGTAGTCCCAGTCACTTGGAACACCAAGGCAGGAGGATTACTTGAACCCAGGAGTTCAAAACCAGGCTGAGCAACATAATGAGATTCTCTCTCTAATTAAAAAATAAATAAAGAGGAATTATCATTGACTTTATAGACATGAATGATAAAGAAATATTATAAGTGATGGTATGCAAACAAATTAGACAGCTAAAGTGGATACATTCCTAGAAAGGTAAAAACTATCAAAACTGACTCAAGAAGAAATAGAAAATCTAGATTGACCTAAACAAGTAAGGTGATGAAATTAGTAATCAAAAAACTTTCCACAAAAAAAGCCCAGGTGACCACTGATGAATGTACAAAATTTTAAGAAAAATTGGTACCAATTCTTCACAAACTGTTACAAAAAAAAGAGAAGGAAGTACTTTTAAATTTATTCTGTAAGGCCAGTACTAATCTGATACTAAACCCCTTAAAAAGACATCACAAATAAAGGAAACTAAACTTCATCTGCAGATACAAGGGAGCAGAAATAGCCCCCAAAAATTGTTTTTATTTTGTTTTGTTTTTGAGGTAGAGCCTCACTCTGTCACCCAGGCAGACTGCAGTGGTGCAATCTCTGCTCACTGCAACCTCCACCTCCCAGGTTCAAGCGATTTTCCTGTCTCAGCCTCCCTAGTAGCTGAGACTACAGGCACATGCCATCACCAAATCTGACTAACTTTTGTAGTTAGTAGAAATGGGGTTTCACCATGATGGCCAGGGTGGTCTCGAACTCCTGACCTCAGGTGATCCACCTGCCTTGGGCTCCCAAAGTGCTGGCATTACAGGTGTGAGCCACTGCACCTGGCCTAAAACAATTGTTTAAACAAAGACAAAATTTGAAGGACTCACTTCCAAATTCAAAACTTACTGCAGAGCTACAGTAATCAAGACAGTGTAGTACCAGCATAAACCTAGACATATAGATCAATGGAATAGAATTGAAGATACAGGCCGGGCGCAGTGGCTCACACCTGTAATACCAACACTTTGGGAGGCCGAGGTGGACGTATCACCTGAGGTCGGGAGTTCAAGACCAGCCTGACCAACATGGAGAAACCCCATCTCTACTAAAACCAAAAAATTAGCCGGGTGTGGTGACACATGCCTGTAATCCCAGCTACTCGGTGGGGCCAAGGCAGGAAAATCACTTGAACCTGCGAGATGGAGGTTGTGGTGAGCCGGGATCATGCTGTTGCACTCCAGCCTGGGCAACGAGTGAAACTCTGTCTCAAAAAAAAAAGAATTGAAGATCCAGAAATAAACCCTTATATTTCTGGTCAACTGATTTTCAACACGGGTGCCAAGACAATTCAATGAGGAAAAGAATACTCTTTTTGACAAATGATGCCGAAACAACTGGATTTTCATATGCAAAAAAGTGAATTGGACTCCTCCCTCATAGCAGACACAAAAATTAACTTAAAATGGATACAATCCCAGAAACATGGGAAAGGGGTAAATAGGCAGTGACTACTAATGGATACAGGGTTTGTTCTGGGGACAATGAAAATATTCTGAAATCAGATAGTGGTGACGGTTGCCCAGCTCAGTGAATATACCATAAACTTGTGATGACCTGCTTTTTGCCAGCTAAACCTAACTCTCTCGTTCTCATAAAAGCTGTTCAGGCTTTATGTTGGCTTCCAAGCTGGACAGACTCCATCTCAGCTTCTTCATTTTAGTGATTTTCCCACCATTAAGTGTGTAACTGTAGTAGGTAGCTGGGGCAGGCAGGCACCGGGCACCCAGGAAGGCATGTGTTGATTAGAGGCTGAGTTAAGTGGTACCAGCAGAGCCTGGGAATGCAGGTGCTGTTGGGAGCCCAGAGCCCCCATTATCTGTAAGTTGTATGTCCTTCATGACAGCTTTACCCCTCGCACCTGGCACTGTTTTATTTCTCATATACTAGTTTATCTTTTAACTTTTCACTTACTCTGCTTTTGTGAAAAATTTGCTTCAGCTAGGTCTGCCTCCCCTTTAAAACTAGGGTATAAAAGACCACCTAACTTTTTCTTAGGGGCTGAAAGAATTTTGGGCATTAGCCACCACTCAATTGCCAGCATAATAAAAGGACTCATAATTCAATGTCAGAGTGTGGCGCATTCCTTGACTCATTCAGGTACAACAAACTGACTTTAAAAAGCTTTTTTTTTTTAGGGTACAAGGATAATATCTCAAAAATGTCATTATTTTAAGAACAGTATATTTACAAAGGGTTCAAAATAACATAATAAAGGCTCTAGGCCACGGTTCAGTTGTGCCTTTACTTAAACCTTATTTTCCCCCCGGATACCATAATTCTGAATTATCAGGTTAGACCGTGAGAAGGCTCCTTATGGAATCCTATTAATATATTGCCTCACTAAACCACCTTAACAAAATTTCATCTTAATATTTTCCCCATAGCTTTAACCAAAGTTACCATAGGAAATAGCCATGTGGAACTTACTTCTGCATTTCTGCACAAATATTGAATACATTGTCCCTCCCATCAACATATCACTCATTGTTCCCCATATTATGAAACATCTTTATGGAAATTTTGCTACAATTTGTTTTAGAAAAAGAAATTCTCCTTAGGAACTACCTTTTCTGATAATCAAAACTACAATTGATTATGATTTCTTTTTAGCCTTAGAGGAAAGTCATTTGAACCACAGCAATTATGTTGACTGAAATAATTATCCTATT